AAGTTACTTTAAAAATACATTAAAAACAAGTTGTTCAGGTATTCACAGTTTGAGTGGAGGTGGAATCAAGTGCTGGAATAGAAAAGAGAAGGATGAACGATTTCAAGGCAATTATATTGCAAGTCCAAAGGCACTGACAATACAGTACATGGTCTTATTCTCCCATCTCACAGTGCAGGTTCCTACAAATAAAAAAAGAGTTTTAGAAACAGAAGAAAGTTACAGTGATTAAATGCATGCCCCTATACGCATCTTTATAACTGTTTACTTTAAGAATCTTTAAAATGAAGCTTTTGCAACAGCTAAGCGTTTTTAGAGATTCTATTCATATATAGCCCAATTAGCATCACAGCCAAATGGAAAAAATACCAAAAAGTACGCTATTCCTCCAGACCTGCAGCACTTAGAAAAAAAGAAAAGTATGCTGCCTAGTCTTAAAGAGACTGGCATTAAAGCTGCAAGTTGAAAAATCCAACAGTCACGCTCCTTACCATCACTGGAGTTGTCCCAGAAGCAAGAGCTTGCTGTATGGAGCCCAGCACCATTCTTTTGCATAATCACACAGGTCACTGTTAGACAGTAGAGAAGCTTTTATTAATTTATCACTAACATTGATTAACATTCAGCTACCTTTTGCTCAGCGAAGCATACACATACACACACACACATATGCATGCTTAGGAGCAGTGTACAGACACGGTTTTTGCCAAAGATCTTCTCCCACACAGTAGTGCACTTGACTGCACCAGCTTTCACTGAAAAGAGAAAGTTGAGCTCACCGATGTACTTGAAGGGCTTTCCCAGCTTTGTGAGTTGGCTCAGTGTCTGTTCCACCACACCTGTTGTCCACTGGTTCACCTTGCTGTGCTGGTAGGCGTTGCCACCTATCGCACCCTCTATGGCCTGTTGGGGACACACACATAAAGAAGCTGCACCGGGTTCATCTACAAGGCACCCACGAACCCATTCCAACATGGACCCCATACCCACAGAAAAATCCTAAATACTGCTGGTCCACACTGGCTGTTGGAACTGTTTTTAACTGTTATAAACTTGCAGGTCAGAGTCTGAGCCAGGAATCTGAGCCAGGCATCACAGATTCCATCCTCTGTCATTTTGTGACATTCAGACTATTTGTAATTTCTACCATAATGTCCTGCAGCCAGTTATGAAAAGGGTCTGAAGGCATTTGAACAGTCTTGAAGAGAATGAAAAAATGCACATGACAATGGCTCATTCACACATATTCTTCTATGGAAATGAAATTCAGATTTTTCAGCAGAATCATTTTTGGGAAACAAACCCCCAAATTAAAACAAAAGACCCATGTAGTTGCTGGTTACTAACAGAGCATAAGCCTTCAGCCAAATAATCCATTTTACTTATGAGGACAGTTTCCCCTTTAAGATAGAAATAAAAGTATGTTAAAGCTACATGTTTTTCATTGACACATTTTTCATCACAGAAATTGTTTTAAAAATAACCACAATTATTTCAAATTCAGAAGAGACAGGAGCATGTATTAAAGCATATGTATTCAATTTACAGAGTCTGACCAAAAGAGTTATTTTGCAACAAGAAAAAGATTGCACTAGTTTACAAGAGAAATTCCAAATCCCTCTGGAAATTTTCTAGACAGAATATTCATGTTTCTTAGCAACAAGAATAGTTCAGTCATTCCAAAGATGATCTCACTTTGGAGAAAAGCATCTTGAAAGAACGCAGTAACATGCATATGCAGTCTACAAAAAACTCCTGTATTTTACTGAAACATAAAATCTATTTCTATAGGGCTTAACATAAAATATCCCCCTAGAAATTCTAATAGGGATGCACTTCAACCAGAGAGGTATGTATAAAATTATTTTAATTATCTTTTGGATTTGTGATACATATCACAGCTAAGGCTGGGTGTCATTTCTCCTTAAAGTCTCTACATTGATTATACAACAGTTACCTATATTTTGAGAGCAACCTATCTAGAAATTTATTACATATCCGTTATCAGATTTTACTGAATATCTTTTAGCACACAGCATAAAACATACTATAGTTTCACAACAACAAAACAAAAATGTTAATTTACCTCTTTAATGATGCTACTGACTTCATCGACAACAAAGGAAGCCTACCAAAAAAGTAGAATTTTAAATAATCAGTTGACACATTCTTCTGTTTAGAGAGCTCGAGATCTGTTAAGAACATGCACTAGAAGTTTAATTTATGCTTGTCAGATTTCTGCTAAGTCAGCAGATACCAAGTCTTCCCTTATTTGCTCATATGTACTCTGGCTCCTTTAATCCAGTCAAGTGAACATTCTTAGCAAAGTAATGAAAAGTAAGAGATGAACTAATATTGGTTGGCCTTTTAAGTCAAGAAAGTTTTCAAATTTTAACTTGGAAGCATTTTAAAATCACATGTATAGTACTTCTGTACATATATATTCTCCTTTCACAATAAGCATCCATGTCTGCACATCAGGGTGGGCTCGCAGAGAAAACCTCAGTGCGCAGACACAGCCTGCAGTTAAATGAAACCTACATCTCCAGGGCACCTGTGTGACAAAACATCAATTCTCGGCTGAAGGAAAAACTGTCATAACAATCTCAGCTGAGGATAAGAACAAAACTGCCCCTTGGAAACCAAGGGGGAAATGTAGCTCGCTGGACCTTCAGCCTTCTCTCAGGCTCTGGGGAGAAGATTAAGCACATGGAATCAGGAGAGAGAAGGCCCCAACATTTTATTAATCTTAAATCTATTACCCATTTACATGTATGGTTAGTAGGTTTTCTTGTTTTAGTCCCTCATCTCTTTTTGCCCCCCATGTCAGGAGGCTTGAACAACCCAACACCACTGCTGGGGCACCTACTCACAGGGCCAGGGAGCACTAATGGGGAACCCCATGTGGTGTGTAGGTGAGACACACACCACACTGTCAGTGCGGGGGGGACCTCACAGCCACACCTCACAACACAGGGCCAAAGAAGTGCACATAAAAGCATACTAATTTCAGAAGACTGATTAAGGATGTAAAAATGAACCTAATCAAGCACATGTTGACCGGGTTTTCACTGGGAGGTCAGTCAGCTTCTCCAGCTGACAAACATGAACAACAGCAAAACTCACATATGCAAGCAGGATGCAGTTATACCTGCACAGGAGAATTTCAGCATTACTTTCATAAATCTTTGATCAGAAGGTGAACAGCCTAGCTGGTTTCAATGACCTGTGACATTCAGAAAGATGTGAGCCGCTGATCATTCTCCATGACAGAAGAAACAGCATATCCCAGGAGACATGCAGGCAATTCCTTTTCTATAGCTCTTCGGAGGCACCAGCTTGCTTGCACACTTCAACATTTTAAAAAGCTTTTATGTGCTGTGGCAAATTTTTTTATTTTATCTTTATTTTGGCTTTTATTTTCAGCTTCTTGACTTTGATTTAATTTTAATATGCCTCGTTTATTTTCCTGGTACTAAATTTTACAGGTGCACTAGTGTATTTAACCAAGTAAGAGCTACAATTATTAAAACATTCTGTCCCAAAGAGCATAAGTTAAGAATATGCATGCCAGACACACTGGCAGACATGAAGCCTGTTGTCAGGCAAGATGATAAACCATATAAATTTTTTTTTCTTCACAAAGTCTAGAACTCTGCTCAGACATGATATTGAGCACAAACACAGTTCACCAAAGCAAAATGACTTAAATTCAACCCAATTTCTTGAAGGTATTTCAATATCTAATTTGTACTGAAACAATAAAGAGATTTGAGAATATGCTTCTAGAGCTGCTGTTACTTTTCAATCTTCTTCCGTTTCTGAGACGACAAAAGAGAACAAATTTCTGATATCCAGCTTTGCGATTTACGTGTTATAACTGAGTTGCCAAATAATGCAGCACTACCAGTTCACCTTTTAATAAGACGGCATAAACACTATTTTGTATTAAAAAATTTGTAAGCTTTACAATTTCCCTGCAGTACCTCTATGGCACAAAGAAAGCAGACACGATATTTCAAATGCCTTGTTTAAAAGGCGCGCTTCCGAGGCAACAAACGCAAACTGCAAAGCAGTACTATCCTTTAATAATTATTGAAAACGTTTTCGAAAACATCTATAAGAATGATTTTCGAGTATGTTAATGTATGTATGTTATTTATGTCTAAGACTGGCCCAGCCTGGCAACCAGGAGAAGGCTTTTAGACCAGCACAAGCCTGACACACCTTCGCTCCTCTCGCTGCTTCCCCATTGTCTAACACAGCCACAACGCGCCGGTTAAGTAACAGTGTCACAGCTCAGAAAAACTGTCTTCCTGCAAGAGCAGTACTGTCTGGGTGCTCAATTAGACCCCTGATTTATCCCACTTCGAATCCTGCTAATGGGGTACGACGCCTCATCGGTGCGTTTCTAACACAAACACCATGGGCTTGAACCCCTCTTTCCGCACAGAAACAGCTTGCTCGAGCGTCCCTACACCTACACCGCACCGGCAACCCTGCCACCACGGCACACCGCCTCATCCCGCTGGGGAAGCCAGAAAGCCAGGACTCCCCTCCCGCGTTCCCCCCGAGCCCCCGCAGCGGCAGCTCTGCGAGGGCGGCGGGCGTCGCCCGGGGACAGGAGCCCAGCGCACACCCGGACAAGGGGCTGGCTCCCGAGGGGGCGGCAGAACAAAGGCTGGGCCCGTCTCCCGCCGCTGTCCGGGACACGCGGCTCCATCCCGAGGAAAGGTGGCAGGGATCGGGGCGATGGCGGCGGAGGACACTGAGGGGTCGGATCCAGGACGGGCAGGCACCGCCCGAGACCCTCCGCCGACCCTGAAAGAAGGCGCCAGGCGGGAAGCTGTCCTACTTCTGTGCCCCCATCCCGTTACCTCCTCTCCCGACTGGAACTCGTCCATGTTCCCGGTGGAGCCGCTCGCGCCGCCACCGACGCGCACCCCGTCACCCGCCGCTCGCACTGCGCCTGCGCGCCGAGCGCCCGACAGGGCTCGGGCTCCTACCCAGCGCCCTCCAAGATGGCGCGGTTGCCATAGCAACAGCGGCCGGGAGCCGGGCGGGGAGATGGCGCTCGGCGCTGCCGTGGGACCGCTGTGGCGCTGTCAAGCACCCCAAAGGCTGGGGCTGAGAGACAGGGAGGTCGCTTGTCACGGCTGTGCTTTTCATACGGATAGCTTGCCGTTTGTGTTCAGTGATGCAAGAGGTCCCTCCCTGGGATGTCCTTTCCTCTTTCCCTGGGAGAGGAGATGGGTCTGCACCTTGTTTCTGGAAACAGACCTTCAAAACAAGGCCTTCATTTCAAAAAAATGAATTCATGTATGCCAAGGAACTGCAAAAAAAAAAAATGCCCAAACATACAGAAAACCTCTCCCTGTCATTATCTCAACTCATGAGCCTTTCATTATATTTTCTCTCCCCTGCCCAGATGAGGACGAGAGTGACAGAGCAGCTTTGGTGGACACAATGTCCAGCCAAGGTCAACCTACCACAGAAGAATATCTGAATTCCTACAATTCTAAGCAGATCACATTTTTTTAACAGACAGAGTAAGAATCAGGACAACGAAATTAAAGGGCACACTTGTCACAGTTTATGGATTCCATGTGTGTGCAGTGTTTACAGATTGTCCAAATTACTGATGCTACCAGCCTCTTAGAGCTGCTCTAAGCAGTGGAAGATGCTGTTCAGGCTCAGAATGGCCTGGATGAACTGCAGAAATGGTCTGGATGAAGGAAGTAATAATAACTTACTGGGTGTGAGTGCAAAGGGCTATAGTGAGGCAGGAATAACCAGCTCTACAATTACAGACGGGGCAGGGTCAGCTCACTCAGTATATGTTCATAGACAATAGAGTAGGGGGTTGTTTAGGTACAATTTATCTCAATTTGTCATAAGGTCCTGTGGAAAAAAAAAAAAAGATGCCATCCTGGGACATCTAAACAGACACATAACCTGCAGGACGTGGGAAGCAGCATTCCTGTTGCCCTCTCTACAGTAAGGCTGCAGAAGGACTACTGTGTCCAGTTTTGGGCATTGTATCAAGAAGGCTGTTGGAGCTACAGCCCTGTTGATGGGGCCTCAGCTGCCCTAATCAGTTTTGACCTCGTCTCCAACCCTGTGTCAGGCCCTGCCTCCTGTTCCTCCTGAAAAAGGAGACCCTGACCAGTTACCCCACTTTGGGGCTCTGTGGGCACCCTGCAGGCAGCACCAGCTCTCCCCATCTTGCAGGGATACTGTGGGACTGTGGCTGGCTACTGAGCACGCCCTCAGACCCGCTCCAAGCCTTGTGCTGGACGCAGAGACAGAAAGGCGAGGGCTATGGAAAGGCTGAATAAGTGGTGCTTGTTTGAACGAAAGCACAAAAGGCTATAATTTGGTTACATTCTTAGCATGTATAAAATACTGTGACAGTTTTCCACATCCAGGGATGAGAAGGAAAAATACAGTGAGTTACATGTGTGGCAATCAAGGCTTTGTTGAAACATTAGGGGAAAGCTGGTGGTAGGGATAATATTCCTCAGCCTGGATTTGGCATGCTACTATTATGTTACTGTGGGTAGCTAGAATCCTCAGTTGGTTCTGGTCTTTCATTCAGTTAAACTTTTTACTGAAGTTAAGGCCCAAATTAACCAAATATGATGCATATATGCATAGTTCTGTGCCCCACTAACGGTTGCTTTCCTTCCATGGTACAGCTGAAGAAGGTGATTAAACTTGACAAACACAGGTGGGAATGTTTGAACCCATTTAACTTCATGAGATTATAAAAATGCAGGCTCTTAAACTTTGCCATATGAGTAGAATTGCTGTGCTTTGTTTAATTTTAACTAGAAATAAGGAATCTTAAAATACCTGAAACACTAAGAGTGCTTCTGTGTTGTACATACAGTTTGTTAGAGCCAAGAACAAGAAAGGAGATTGTCCTGTAAGAATAGCCTCTTTTATTTGCCAGACTTTGAAATAATTGGGATGTCATTTTGAACTTCATTACCGACACTTAGTTCTGTAATACACTGAATTGGGATATCCAATCCAAATAATATTTTAACTTTCAGTTGTTACCTGAGATCAGATTTCCAGCTGTGAGGTAAAATAACTTTCTTCTTTTTGCAGGTCCATAAAAATGAATTGTTTTGAACTTTTATCTATTCTAATTGCTTTTGTATAGAGACCTAAATAGAAAACTACTTTTGTTTCCAGGAAAGAACTGCTTATGATACAAAGTTACAAGTTTTCTGTGCAAGTCCTAGAGCCATTGTGGTTAGAAGCATTTTCACATCTATAGTATCAGAAAAAGAAACTCTGTAGAACTCAAAGCCACTTCTCTTCCTGTGTATGGCTTGAAGACTGAGCACATTTTATCAGTCAGCTTTTATAGTCTCATGTGCTGAGTTTCTTTTTTATGTTAGAAAAATTAATATCTTCTCCTTGCTTGTTGCTGGTAACAAAACCAGAGACTTGACAAAAGCTTTTGTAACATTAGAGCTCTTTGCTGAGTGCATTTGCTTTTAGCTGTTTTGGGGATGCTTCTCTGAACATACATCAGTAATATCAGTGCCCAAAGGAAGGAAAGGGAGTGGAGAACAGCCACCAGTTTTCTTTAAGAAAAGATAATTAAACAATAAGAGTGCTACTCATCTTTTAAAAGCAGTTTACTTTCGTGTGTCTTTCTTTGGGGGGTGCTGAAGAGGTAAGCACATCGTTTTAATCTATTCTATATGATATTGCACAGAGGGATGCATTTTTACCTACTTGCATGATGTTTTTCAAACTGCAAAGGTATAACGGAAAAGCCACAACTGGAACTTAATTGTTTGTGTTGGGTTTTGTTGTTTGTTTTTATTTTCACTTTTAAGTTCTGGGGTTGGGCGTTATCACAGATATAATTTTGGTAAGGCATTATCAAAGGACTTATAAGTAATTTGCATGTGCACATGCAGGGGGGTGAAAATTAAACTGTTGCAGCCAGGTAGTACAGAATAACATCTGCAATTTTCTTAACTAAGAATAAATTTATGAGATTGGCCTCAGATGAATAGAAAATAGCCAAAAATTACAGTGGCTTTTGTGATCGTTTTTACCCTGAACCTTCTTAACCTGTGTCCTAGCTACTGATGTATTACATCTATTTTCTGGGTTAATGGATGAAGTAATCCAATTATCTCAAGTCAATGAAGACTGTCACTTTAGAAGATTAGTTTATTTATACTTATTTAATTGTCATTCTTTTGCTAATGCTTAAGGATCTGAAAGGAGATCAATAATATGTAAAATTGCTTTGAGGAAAGGCTTGCTAAGTCAGGCGTTTCTAAGTTTAAAAACTTAAAAAATAAGTTACCTTTTGCAAACTTAATCTTGTATTAGATAGACCTCTTGATTGATCTTCAGTTACATAACTATATACTATTTTAGGCTGATATAAAAGAAAAAAGTATATTTTTTTGAGATTGCACTCAGTGCATTCATGTCTTCTTCTCCTAAGGTATAGCCATGTTGGTTATTCCTTCTCCCTTATATTGGCTTTGAGACTTCATATGATATTTTCAAAAAGCTACTGATCCATCTGTAATTTAAAATAAAATGTAATAATAATAAACACGTAATTAACATATTCCCTTCAAGTATTATTTTAATGTGAACTTTGTGCTGAAAAGGAAGAATTGTCATGGTTAACCTCTTACTAAAGAGGTTGCTGCTATTTTTGGTTTTATGTAGAAGACGCTCAGCTTTGAGGTTAGCTAACCACGTAAAACAACTAGCTAACTGGATTCAACGAGTCAACAAGAAAGGAGGGGATCTGCGAAGGTTTATAATGTTGTTTCTTCCTGTCAAAGAGGGCCATTACTGAAGACGCTTCTTTATTACTGCCAAAAACCTAATCTAATGCAGACAGCTTTGGTGTTAGAGAAAAGCTCTTCTTTTGCAGTGGTAGAGAGCTTTACAGTCCAATTTGAACAGTTCTGTGGAATGATTACAAGTTCAAGTCTGTTGTGGGGCCAAGAATTATCTCCCATTTCAGGGGTTATAATGCTTTTACAATACTTTGTTTATTCTGAGAGCTACCTCATCATAAAGTCAGATTTTAAGTTACCTTTGGATGTGCAAGAAAAATTGTCAGAACACAATGATTGCCAGAGTTGAAATCTTCATGAAGATTAAAAAACAAACAACTGTAGAAGTGTGCACGTGCAATATTGCTAGAGCTGCTGGCTGCATGATGAATTTTAAACTTTGTCTGTAGTGTGTGCTGACCTTGCCCAGCGGTGAGAGAGCCCGTGGTGGCTTTTTCCCTCTCTGCACAGGGCAAATGTTGCAGGATGGAGGGCCCTGGCACTTTGCTCTGCAGTAAATTTGTTCCATTGTTTAGTACCAGAAGATGATTCTAGTCTTTCCATCCTGCTCCCTGTTGGCATTAGATTCAGTGCTTGTGATTTATCACTATGAATAGGGTATGGAGTGTAACATATTAAATCAGCTGGTTTTGATGTTTGCAGTATCAACAAGAGGCTGAGATTGAATGTACTTCTGGAAAATCCTGCCCTGGCTAAGGCAGAAACTGTGTCTCCCACGGGGAATAACTTTGAGCAAGACAAATTAGAAATAAGGGGAGGGTCTAAGCTCTTCCTTCCATCACAGTGTTAAAATCTGTGCAAGTTTGAATAGCTGAAACTAATGGTTTGTTTGTTTGTTTTGTGCATCTCTAAATAAAATTCTGTGTGTCCTCTGAAACTCATTCCTCAAAACAGTCTTGATATATGGAAAACTTTGTGCCCTAAAAGCAGTTGAAGGATGTAGGGGCCTTTGAAAGTGACGTATATTGTGTTAAAAAATTGCTCAAGCTTTTTATGTTTCAAATGAGTAATTTCCTGTGAAATTGCAGTTGGTAAGGAAATAAAATATGATTATGCCTATCTCTGTCTCTTTTGTTTGCACAGGAAACCAATCTCTTTTTTTTTTTTTTTTTCCTTTTAACACTGCTTCTGTGAAGTGCTTTCTCCTTTTGGTGTCTGAAGGGTTTTACAAAAAAAAAAACAAAACACAACATACAGGAATGGAATGCTTGCTGTTTATAAATACATGTTATCACCTTCTGCTTTTTTTGGTGGGAAATTAGGTAACTGTAAATTAAGTATTTGGAGCAAGCTGCATGTGAAGTAATTACCTGCACTGACAAAAATACATTGTCACTATATATATATGAAGTTTTAGTGGGTGAGGGTTTGTTTGTTTAGGTTTTCAGTTGTTTCTTTTTTTAAATTAAACTCAGTATTTTAAAATAATGCAATCAACATTGTGTCAGCAGTACAGATGGTTGTTCAGATTCTCAGCTAAGGTCCATCAGTGAAACATCAGTAACTGCCTGGGGAAAGCTTTACCCTTCTGACCTAGCATCTAGACCCTTTTCCTAGAGCCTGACTGTGTGTATTTACTCCAGATTAAGTTTGAAATGCTTAACCAGCTTTCATGTACACATCTTTAACATTCTGTGTACCGTAAGTAGAATTATCCTACATTTCTTGTAATAGGCACTAGATGCCAGACAGTAGTACTGAAAATGAACGTGGTGTGCAAGCTGGTTTGGATTGAATAACCATTCTCTCTCTTGGCTTTGCTGTGAAGTATATTAAAATTGTTTTATATTTTGGTGGAGGTTCTGCAAAAATGAAGATCACAGAATACATTCAAACTACAGTTGGGATTCTGTTTTAATTTTACACTTCTCATATGCTTGTACATGAACTTCTTTGGTTTGGGGCCAAAATTGTTAGTGCACTGAGATGAAAATAATAACTGTATTAACAAAGAGAATAGCATTATTTGTTATTAAACTGTTTATCTAGACTTAAAAGACATAGGTAATTGATAAAAATGACTCTTAGAGATGTCTTTCCTCTTAGTTTTGTGATGTTTTGTCTTTTCAATAAAATGAGATTAGAAAGGGGCATTTTTTTCCTCAAAAATTTTGTCACAAGGACTATGACTTTTCCAATCACGGGACCTGCAGGCCTGTGGTCAGAACTAACTTAAACTTTTTTATTGGTTATTTTATTTTAACTGTACAAAAAATGCAAAGATATGTACCTGAGTGTTAATGGACATTATGGTGAGACTCTTTGAAGAACAGGACTGTCTTAAAACCTCTCCTGTATCTGAATTAGTGTATGAAAGGTTTGAGTGTAGCAAAATGTGTTCTTCACATACTATTTTAAATGTCTTGGAAAGAAGAGATAATAACATGTATTCTTCATTTTTTTCCTAGGTCCAGAAATCCCATATCTACAAAACCAAATAAAAAACCTCAAACAAGTCCCCTCACTCCTTTACACTATTTCTTGACATATTGTCCCTCCATCTGGAGGCAGTTAAAGCCCTGTCTGGGACATTGCTGCAAGCTCTCATCTCTTTTGGAACTACTTTCAGTGGAAAAAAAAATAAAAAAAGAAAAGAACAGGAAGTTTAAGGACATGAAAAAGTCAAGATTGCTGTGATCTTGATAACTGTTCATATTCCCTGGTTTGCAGAGACACCTAAGTGATGGTTTGTGTGAAGACAGACACAGTCATTTTTCTCTTCAAGGGCATGACACAGTGAAACACATCACCAATTGAGTAAGAGCACAGGCACTTAGTTAACACCCAGAACATTGTTCTGGATATACTAGAACCCATAGGATAGGAGTCTACAGAACAAGTGAAATTTGGAGAAAATGGCCTGTGAATTTAATTTGAACTTCCTTAAGGAATTGGAACGAGAGGCTGTTTTGGAAGTGTTGTACCGTGATGAGATGGTGAGAAAAACAGAAGAGGAAAGAATAAGGTATGTGCTCCTCCCCTATTCCTGTATTCTGTTCCTTTTTTTTTCTGAAGTACTATTATTCTACTTTGTCCTTCCAAATGTACTCCTTTTTATAACTTCTTGTTACCTAATGCTTTTTTATTCTTTGGGAAAACCAAGGATTATCCAGACTCTCTTGAATTTACCATTCCATTGACTCTACATTAAACATGAGCAAATACTGTTCTGTGAATAACATACTGGATTAATTTTACTTTCAGCCTTCGTAGAAAGTTCAGTTGCGGCCTGTACTTTTTCTATGAAGGCCTTATGGCATTCTTGTCATGTTCCTATGTATGCATATATAGTCCTAGTAACACAGAACACGTTCAGATCTTTGGCTGGATTATTTAGCTTAAGTTGTGCCAATACTGGAGTTAAGAATCATTGGATACCTGCTCACTGTGCTAAATCCATCACTGTCCCTTCTCACACAAAACAGGTGGCAAGCACACAATGCTGTTTCAGAGGTTGTTACTAGTGTCAATAGGTGCCATTTGTTAGGAAAAGGATTTTATTAAATAACTTCACATTGTGCAAGTATCTCAGTTGGAGAGGATAAAGGATATTTCTCCAGCACTTTTTTTGCTTTATACCGTGGCTAAGACAAAGATTTCCTTGCAGCTTGTACCTTTCTTTGTGACATTGCATTCCCATGTAAACAAGGTATTTGTGTGGATAAGATATAAATTTTTAGTGTCTTAAATGTGGAAACTTAAACTTTGCTTACAGCGAACAGTTATGTAAGTATTACTGGGCATATTAGATGAAAACAATTAAGTGAAAAGTAAGTAAAGGGTTATATAGAAAATCTGAACTGATCAGAAAATCCCTTTCAATTGTTGATGGTGTTGGTAACAGATAAAAATATATATCTTGATTATTCATACATGTAATGGAAGCAAAGTTAATGAAAAGGAGATGTTTTGATCTTTTGGGCCAGTGTAGTTTTTTATTTAGCTTTCAGATGATGCATTTGTTATGAGTATTTTTACTTGATAGAAGATCTGATTCTTGAATAAATATGATTAAAAAAATCAAATGAAAGGGAGCACCATTTAGTCTCAGTTTTCGTAGATCAATGCGTAATCACCTGTATACATGATTTCAATGCCCTGCTTTGAGAACGCCTAACATGATCAGAACCCCATTTATACTAAATTATTTCTCTGTTAGTTGCACAATTCTGGTCACATACAGTCACACTGCAAAAATGCTGTGTGTGGATGCCTTCAGACAGTGCTTAACTGAGGTCACACTTGAGGGCCTATCTCCCACTAGTAATGGTATTGCACAACCAGGGTATTAGCTCGCTTTCATGAGGATTTTGGTCTATTTCATTTTTAAAATTTTTCTTTTTTCTTTCTTTTTACCTGGGGGGTTAGGAAACTGAAACTGCATCTACAGCAGCTTCGGTGGAAAGGGGCAAAAAATGTAAGCCATGAATATCAGGAGAGATCTTGTGCTCGCTGTCAGAAATCTCTCGGGTTGTTGATGAACAGAGGGGCAGTGTGCAATGGCTGCAGTCATCGAGTGTGCTCTGAATGCCGTGTCTGCCTAAATCCCTGCCTTTGGAAATGCACCATTTGTTACGCTCATGGGTAAGAAACTTTACTGGTTTGGATAAGTGCTCTTTTACACTGGTCATCCAATGGATGCCCACTGGTTTTTTGCATCTGTTACTTAAACAATTAGTGAAACAAAACCTCTGGCGTAATGAAAATGTTGGCTGGAGTCCTGGTAGCAATGAAATCGGTGGGAACTTTTGCTATACTTCACATAGTCAGGATTTCCTTTCCTATGTTTAGCAAAATGGATCTTCAAGGTAAGCCAGAGGTAGTGGGGCAAAGATGATAGCAGCAAAGCATAGCAACAGTCTAAACCATAGAGAGAACTCCTTCCCCTGACTCAATATTGAACCAGTGCATCCTAACAAGCTGCTGAAAGTGCTGTGCTTTGTAGTATAGCCAATTTCTCGATAATTTCCTAATCATTATTTTCTGCCTTTTACTACAGGAGTGAGGAACCTGGATTGATAAATACTAAGTAGTCATGTTTTATAAAAATTTAAAAAGCAAAAAAACACTATTAGGATTTTCTGTTACTATATATCAAGATATTCCTTCATAGTCCATTCTATCTCTTAGAATCTTTCTAAACCAAATATTTTAGAATATTTCCACTTTTGATGAAAAATAATATGTAGGCAAAGAATGATAGTTTTGGAAATTAGTCAAAAGCTGTTCTGGATGATATATATTCCTGTACAAAGGGTGAGGATTTGGATGAAAATTTACTTTATGCCAACACAAGATTAATCCACCACCTCACTCTCTCTGAAGGTGGAAAAATGAGATTAGAATAGTGGGAAATATAAGGCAAGGTACTGGTCTTAAACTAAACAAATTTGTACTAGTTTGAAGTAATTTTCTACAGTTTGGAAGAGAGTTATAGTTTATAAAAAGACAGCTCAGCGCTCCCTGATAGCTGCCCCAAGTTCTGCTTGGAACCATGTCCTCTACCATTGACGTTCCCTGCTTCTCAGAGTAGGCTGCAGCTGTAAGCAGTCAGGATACCAGGCAGCACAAGTGCCTGGGCTGTGTTGCAAGTTGATTGTATAGACTGGAATGGAGCTGGGACTCCTGGCTTCAGAGCAATGCCTAGAGCAGTACGTATCACTTTCCATGGGCAGTCCTACATAGCAGAAAGGAAAACAAACAGAAGAACCTCAAAACTAAAACAACTCCCTCCCAGGGATATCTCCCCTCTGGTTTTTTCAGACACACAACAAAACTGGTCAATGGATTGAGCAGTCAAGAAATCTTAGTTTTATGGTAGGATTGAAAAAGGTTTTTGTATTGTTAAATAGTTACCAAACATTTGAAGAAAGGCACCTGGGAACATGATGATTCAAATATCTTTTCATTGTTTTTCAGAGATGTTAAAGTAAAGGCTGGTGAATGGTTCTTTGAGGAACGAGCAAAGAAATATCCAGGTGAAGGTAATCACTGGAATAGACCATAAGCTGCTATGTAATATGTAATCATCATCTAAGTGAAACACAGAATGTAGTCTGCCACTGTATTTAATGTTTCTTCCATTTGATGAGAGATGTGTCAAAAATTGCCATTCAGTGCATCTGTCTGTGCACTAAATAAAACATGAACACAAACCAGCAGGATGCATTTTAAAGTATAACTTATTTTGTTTGAGTAATAAGAAAATTGCTGACCATATCACTTTGAATTATTGAGTGTGTAAGACTTCTAAGAAATACAATGACATAAAGCAAATATAGAAATGTTGAAGTATAAATTCAGGAAGGAAATGATCTTGCATCCATCATTTGTCAAAGTTAAAACTTCAGTTGTTTTCACTGAGAAAGTTCTAAAGCTGAAAGAAATGATGGAATGGAAGAAAGAAAAACATATGTAGCTATAAATCAACAGAGAGCTAAACACTTACTGTTTTGTTACTTTCAGGCAGCTGTGCCATTGCCTTGTGTTCAGTCTTTTCAGTGCCATCAAAAGTACAAAGCCTTACAAGAAATTATAGAGGATGTGGATGGATCGCTCTGTGGGGAATGTGTTTTGTCAGCCAAGGGGGTGTTAGTTTTTATTTCACCTACAATAACTGGTGGAGAGGATTTCTTTCCTCTTTCCCTTGAAGTGCCACTTCAGATAGGCAGCTGTTTTATTTTGTGCCTGAACATAGTCAAATGATAGAGTTTCACTTCCAGTATCTGCATTACATCTAGATTAAGAGTAGTTGGAGAAAAGGAAGGAACTGGGCTTTAAATATGTCTTGGGAAACTTGAATAGGAAGAATTTTATAAGTATAAGAAGGTAATCAGTCAAATTTTGGGTAGTAGGTGTTCATGAAAGACAAAAAGTAACATATTAAGAAACTAAACTACAGCTCCTGCTAATAAAATTAATTTCAAATTTGAAAGATTTCACTGTAGTCCATTCTAGGTAAGACAATTTCTGATTTTAATGTATTAGTTGACTGATCTTTAAAACCACAATTTTATCCAATTACCGTTATTAATAATTTCCCCTCGATCTTTTCAGTGAGTCTAAAGCTGGTAATTTTATCAATCTCTCTGTTATTGAAGGTACTGTCTCTTTTTCCAGCAAAATAAATGAGTCCTCACTTTGAATTATCAAAGCTTTGTGGGTGCTTGAAGCATTTTGCTTAGTTATACTGTTGAAGTCACAAGGATCTAAAGATATACAGAAGATAAACCTGCAGGGAGAAATATGTTTTGTTTAGTTCCTTTGATTAGACCAACTGATATAATTAAAGAGGTTAAAAAAATGGCAAACTGAAACACAACAGCCGTTGTGCATCCTTCAATCCTGGAGAGACAGTGCCCTCTTTTGGTTTGAAAATACAGCGTAACCGAAATATTCACTGGAAAGTAAGTTTAACTGAAAAAAAATACATATTACAGTGAAATTTTCTCATGTTACAGACTAAAATAACCCAAAGGGTGACATCAGTATGCTTTTTATTAATTTTTTGGTAGCTTCTACCTAAAGAATAAGATCAATATTTTCATTAAAGTGGTATATTGCCTTTAATGGCTAATAAATTTAAAATCTAAGATAGTAAATATTACTTATTAATAATAGAGCATGAATAATGGAGTCTTGATTGAAAGCTGTAATACTGATGAGCTTACTATTATTTCTATCACCACCAAGGTCTACTACTTTTATGTAAGCAATGTTATAGTTAATGTTATAGTTAATGCCATCTTTAGCAAAACGTGGATTATGTGCTGCTTTCTGTATTAGGAATTATTAGTAATTAAAGATACTCCAGATAATTTCAGTCGGTCATTTGTAACATGCTTTTAGCCATTCTTTGTGTTTGTGATCACCTCGGAACAAACTAGAGTTTTATGAGTCTTCATTCTTTGTGCCTGATGAAGTGCTTGCTCCTTGGTGTTCTTTACACCTTGTGACTGCTCACCTGAGGAATGTGACATGGTTGTTATTTCCCTGCAGGAATAGTCTTAACAGAGGATTTTGCTCATGTTTGTGAGCTAGTCAAGCATTTTTATGGGTGGTCAGGTCTCTTGTAGGAAAAGTGAGAGGAATTTTCATGAGATGCAAGAGATGACCATGTGCCTGCTCTTATAGACATTTTTAAGCTTTCCTTAGTGTTTGAGTTTTGTGGCTGAAGTGTGTTTTAGTGCAGTGGGCCGGTGCACTACCTGCCTCCTGGACATCAGGAGGCTGAGAGCACTTAGCAGCCTGTAGGAATGGGCCTGTTAGCATCTGTATGTGATTGTCCTTAGGATTTGGGAAGAGTTAGTCTGACTGTGTCACCTGTGAGAGGTGAAATCACCATAGTTTGTGACACAGGAGAAACTTGTGTTGCTTGGCATATATGCTAATGCATTAGGTGGGCATTGATTTCACTCCTGACTTATACGTGCATGAGTTTCTGTAAATACAGGCCAGTTCCTGAAAGGCACTGATTTTAAAAAGTGTTATACTGGCATTAGTAACTGCTGTTGTTGCTAAATGACCTTTGGATTTTTTTTCCTCCTTCACAGGCAGACATGAAACAGTTGGTGCAAAGCTCTTGAAATCTTATCAGAAACTGAGGTAATACTCAAAAGGACAAACGGTCCTAGGACACTGAGATTTGTATAGGTGATATATTTTATGTTATAAACTAGCCAACAGTTTGTATTTTTTTATTATGAAAAACAAAATTCGACGCTTTTGGAGTACAAATGACAAAAACGTAGAAAAATTGTCACTTTTATCTGTCAGCAATCCATAGAAAAGATCTCAAGTACAACAGAGTACTATGTTTAGAGTAATAGTGTCTTCCTTGAAATGAAGGTACATCCATTATTTTTATGTGCTTATATTTTTTGCATAACTGTTTATACCATTATCTGTTAAATTTGCACAATACTTTTAAATGATCATAGATGAACACTATTTACTAATTGTCATAATAGCATCGTTATTGATTCAATGGGAGATATTGCTGATATGACAATTTTAGAATAAATAGTAGACAGGAAGCTCTGTATTTAATTAGACATTTCCACTAACCAAACTTTAAAAAAGTAAAAAGTCTAATTTAGAGTGAATACTTTGACTAGAGGCTAAAGCATGCCCATAGTTAAGTTATTACCAGTGATATATAACAAACAGTCTGCTTAAACTATATGGTATTAAAGTAACCCTCTTCCTTAAAACACAATACCCAACCACAACAACAAAAAGAACCACCAAAAATAAAACTAACGAACTAAACCCCCTCCTCCCCCCAAAATCCCACTTAAAGTAAGATATATAGAGATGGTCTCAATTTATTATAATTATCTGGCTAGGCATAGCTGCATAAGACAGAAACTTACAGTCAGCTAGATAAGATCCTAACCAGAGCTTGCTTTTGCGTAAATGTGGTAAAACTAAAAGAGAGTCAAAAAGGAAGTTTACCAGCTGCCTTGAGATCTGTGATTGTGCTGTGATAACAGAATCAGTCAGATAACAGTTAGATTCTTTTTCACAGAGCAGCACTATTTACCACAGATGGAATGGCAGGAATGTTGTAAAGGTCCTCTAACAGCTCTGGACTCAGGCAAGGAAGGATGCTTTCATTATTGTAAATAAAGATGACTATTTTCTGAAAAAATTTCTGAAATAGAAATGGGATGTGTTATACAGGAATTGTGTTTTAGAACTCAGAACACAGATTGTAATACTGCTAGCTGTATAGAAGTTTAGGGAGTCTGTCCTAACTTAGGTCTTCCTGGTAGTTCTAATTCAATAATTTTACCTAGATCAGCCCACAATTAAGAAGATAGAAAGGTAGACCTAATTTTTAAGAACAGGCAACAAACCTGTGCTGCAACCCTTAAAGACACAGGATGTCAACCCAGATTTTTATAGTGTACAGGAAAGACCATATAATAAAGATACTGTGCATGGACATGGTTTATTTATCCATCTATTGGCATAATATATTAAATGTTGTTAACTGTTAATCTCTTAAATTTCTAGTAAAATTTCTGTCGTACCTCCAACTCCACCTCCTTTCACAGAATCAACAGCAGGAATCAATGTGATGGTAAATGTACGTATCTGCAAAATATACATATATATATACTCACCTCGTAGAGTTTCATTCATGTGTAAAGGCCAGCCACAGAAACGTAGTAAACAACAACTGCTATAACATCACACTGCCATATAAACGATACCTTATGTTCTTTGTCATTATTTTTATGCTGTGTTGGTACCAGGAGAGAAAGATTAGAGGCTATGAGGGCTGTTTTCAATTAGTTTTCAGTTTTTAAGGGAAGTGTTCAACCACTCTTCCTGACACTGGAATACTGCATATGGTTTTTGGTGCCTCACTATTGGAAGACTGGACTGGGATCTCCTGAGCTCCCCTCAAACCTGAAGGGATCCCATGTTCCTAAGATATTCAACAGTTATTTATAAAATGACCATTTCATGTGTCACTTTCATTATTGAGTGAAGAACAGTGAATTTGATGGTTGCCTTTGCATTACAGTTTCTAGTGGACAGAATAGTAGGACATGGCTCAGAACGCATAAAAGTTGCACTGAATTACTATTTCGGTTCATATTGGACTGGATCCTCAGGTCTGTTTTTTAAGCCCATTGCAGTTCTGTAAACAGTCTTATGTGCATACCTGGAGTTTGACAAAACTTTGATTCAGAGGCACAGGAACATCTGTAATAGATAAAAGTATTAACCACATTACAACAAACTGGTGATGTAATTAGCTGTATTTATGAAATTGCTGTGTGATCTTCCTACAAGGAGTTCCACTTATATGTCAAAGACTATGGAACTGAAAAGATTACTTTCCATCTTCAACAGCTGACAGTTTTCAACTATGTGTATGTATGTCCTCAGATATATTTTTCTACAGAAATGAGCAAAGGGCTGCAGCCTTACCATCTGATATAATCATGGAAACTTTAAAATGACAAATGTTGTGTTTTCTTACTCATGGCATCTCCCATTTGCAGGAACTTGGAGAGTCTAAAAGGTTTAATAAATCTGTGGAAAACTTGTTTTTGTCTCTCACAACGAACATAAAAAGTAAGTAGCTTTCACTGTTTTGTCATTCTATAGTAATGAAGTCAAATGTTTCAATTTTTTGGCCACAGTGTTGGCCAAGAAATAGTTATAAAACAAGGATATTGAGTAATGGCTGAAATGATTAATGCTAAGGCTATGCCAACCTGAAAAATAATATAGTAAATCTAATTCTCCTTCAGTATTCTGCTAGTTTTTAAATTTGCTGATTATATCAACCCAGAATAGCTTTCCTGTAAAGATGGAAAAGACTGTAGTATACAATCTTTAAGTTTACCAGGTTTTCAGATGCAGTGTATTTAACTCATGTTAGCACCAAGTAATAACCAATTTCTGCTGTATTGATCTTCGTGTTTTCTGTCTGACTGAACCACAACTGACTGTCAAAGAGTCTGTTATTTAATGGAAGTAGAGTTTAATATTTTCGTTTACTGGCAGTTTACATGAGGACTTCCTTCCTCTTTCTCAGTCTGACTAGTTGAGTGGGTTTTTTGCAGTGCATATTTCTAGGTGCTGTCCAGTCTTAACAACTCCTCTTTCATTCTGATACTTTTGGTTCCTTCCATTCTCTTATGCTGCTTGTTCCTTGGGCTGCAGACTGTGTGTGCACCTCTAAGACTAACTACACTAAGGACAGCCAGGCAGTGTGAAAAACAAAGGCATCAATGACCAGAGGAAAACCACTTCTGAGTCTCAGCAAGATTACAGAGGCTTGCAAATTTGCATGTATTTGAACAAACCTTAATATTTTCTTACTGGCTTCAACTTATACAACCCCACATGTGAGACCAGACCTGAATAAAACTGGCTTTAGTGCCTTTTTGCCTTTCCCCCTAACCTCTTGCCTTACCTCTTGTTTGGTCTTTCCTTTAGCTTCTTCTACCCACCCTAATGGACTGTTTTCCTTTAACTATGCAAATTCAATGTTGCATCTGCGTGAACACATATTAAAGCCGTGCAGAGACACAGTGACTGTTGCTCCACACAGAAAAATATAGGGTAGCATAGGACACTATTACTGGAAGCAGACAGGTGAGGCAGCACTGAACTGGGTGCAAAGTAATTTATCCAGCTTTCTGATAGTTTGAAGCCTGGTCATATCCCACAGTTACTGGTAAAGACTGTCAGGACTGCAGCAAGCTAATTTATCAGTTCGCTACTACCACATGGAAGATCCTCCTCCACACACATCTTTTTCTTCTTTCCCTGTTTCTAGCCTTATGCTGCTGTGACTTGACTTAGCACTGGTGTTTCTGGACCCCTCTGGAAACTGGTTTAGCTAATTTTAAGGGCATAACGTTAACCTGGACAAAACATATAGATACTTTTCTGCTGGTTTAGTGAGTCAATAGGCTCAAGGTAGGACATATGTGTTGGAACATGTACAGTGGAGGGTACCATGTGGTCAGGAGCCAGAGATTGAGGAGGGAAGAGCAGTGGTTGAAGAGGGAGACGGCAGCTACTTGTTAGATCGGCTCAGCTGTGTGAGAAACCCCATGCAGGTGATACCATCCTCAGTTAGGGTAGAGCGGTTCGATTTGTGAGAAAATAACAGGCTGTTGCAATCACTGAAGTCAATAATTAAAAAGCATTGGAAGTCTTACGAAGAGAAAGAATTGGATTTCTTAAGAAACCAGCTTTTTCAGACAATATGGCCTCCAGTGAAGCCTGGTGCTGTGCTGATAAAAGCATTTGGTCACATGTGTCTAAAGTTAGCACTCTGTATCTTATCTAGATAAAAATGTCCTGGTTTGCAGAGGTATTTAATACATCCCGCTCCTGTGCACTGAAGTAAATAAACACGGAGAACTTCGTTATGCCTCTGATTCTATCACTGGAGCCAGGTGTGTGTGGGAGCAGTGGGAACAAAGGATTAGCGAGTGCAGCACAGAACGGCCATTGTACAGTCTGCTCTTTATGCTGTTACCTCCTGTTCCAGCGTGGCTTGGCAGCAACAGGAGATTATAATCCAATGGTTGCCATTTGGTGAATGTAAAATGAATTACTGGCTGTAGTTTTATTTGCAGTAAAAAGCCATCCTTGGCTCTAGAGATAGTGTCCATCTTTGCTGACGTTTGGGTAGAGAAGCCAAAGGAGGAATAGATATGAAAACTGAACATTCATGTTTCTCACAATAACCTGTTCTGTAACCTGTTCATTTTAGGACAGTGTAAGGCAAGCTGGTGTTTCTGCTTTGCTGCTCAAGATATTCAGATTGTATCTATTCCATTAGAACTCTCACTCTCTTTTATGATCTCTGATTTCACTGTGTATTTTAAAAATTGGGTTTCATTTACGGGGGTGGCTTAATTGAGCCTGCATTTGAATAGGTCACATGGTTCCTTAATGATGTACAAAGAGTACAGTAAACATCTGAGGACTGATTGCTGCTAAGAACAAAACTACCCCAGAGTGTCTTTTAAAAATCACACTTGAGTCCCATTGTTTTTCAATACCATCACTGTCATATTGTCTACTGTGTGGAAGGTTTCTCCACAGAGGTTCATGTTGTGAGAAAAGTATTTATTTCTTCTGTATGAATTAAACATATGATAGTCTCTCATGAAGAATTAATAACTTTTAAGTGGTACATGAAATAGCTATCTGGGATTAGCAACAAAGTGTCTGCAGCTAAACCTGCTATTTTCAACTTCAGAAATCATGGATGAGTGCTGCCCTTCCCTTTAAGTGAAATTCTGAATGTACACTGAGGAATAAGAAGTGAAAAGTGGTGCATTAAATGTCCAGTTGTCCTGTAAATTTATTTGACAATAAACTAGATGTTACTGAAGCACTAATTCAATAAGGTACTTAAGTACGGCTAAGCTTATCTGTATGAGTAATGTTATTGAAGTCAATGAGGGCTAGTCATGTTCTTAAAATTATATGTGGTTTGGGAACAGAGTATGTAATATCTCTCCTTTCATACATATTTTGGATAAATTTCTAAATATTTTCCAATATGCTCTGCTTTCTGATTTTCATTGTCATATTGCTTTATGTTGTTATAATGATCTTGCTTTTATCCTGAACCAAACCAAACCAAACCACTTTACAAATCAAGCTATACATACGGACTGTAGTAGCTATTTCTGCAAAGAAACTGTATTTGATGGCAGTAGTTCTGATGATAGGCAACAAAGAGTAAAATTTCCAATTGAAATAGCAGGAAAGATTTAGGTATAATTACATAAAGTATAATTACATAAAATGTGACAAGCACTTGTCTTCCCATCTGTTTCTTACTCTTAGGAGATCAACACTAAAGTTGCAGGATAAAAGTTTGAAAGCTACAGAATTAGCCTATAAATCTACAGGATTGCTTGCAAAGTTTGTTATAGTGACTTTTCTCTTTATTTTCACTTCAGAAATCTCAAAGTCTCAGAATGATATGACTGACAGATGTGTCCTAACCACAGACTTTGGGAAGAATGTGGAAAGAAGGTGGCAAAGAAGGAGCCAGTCTGACACTGCCATCAACATTACAAGCAAGGTATCCATATTATTATACACTCTCTCGAACTGTAAGAACTGTTTCATTAATGAAATATCTTTGTGAGAGCAATGACTTATACAGTGGAATTTTACTTTTATTGTATGAACAGAGCTTAGCTGATGTTCACTGACCATGATCAGAACTCTGATTCTCCACAGGGTTTTTGACAGAGTCTGCACAATTGATTTCAGTCCAGAGTTGAAATGTTAGACTGAAATTTTTACAAAGACCTTCATATAGAGAGGGAGGGGATGGGTCATTTTGCTCTCGGGTGTTCACAGGCTCTCTTGAGGCAGATTTGATGTCTGCTCTATGTGATTGTTGGGCTGCAGGGATGTACTCTGTCTTGCCCTCTTCCTGTCCCTTTTGCTGCTGAACAGGACCAAGCTATGACCATCCCAAAACCATCCTGGCAATCTTTGAGCATTTTTGACTTGGCAGGGAGAAAACATTGCTGTTAGTTGCTGTGCAACTTCCCCTTTCCTTTTGCTTTGGTTACAGTCTCTAACTTTCAGTGTTTTCTTGAGAAGTTTGAGAAAAATCCAGTCATCTGTTTTCCCACAAATTGTGCAGGGCTGAAGATGATGTCACACTTCTGCTTTAAAGTTACACTGAAGATTTTGTTTTGTATGCTTTCAGCTCTCAAGTGACTGAACTTTGTCCACACTCGGTTTTCCACATAGTGGGTACTTATTGAATTGCCTTGTTCATCTGAACGAGGTAAATGTGGTCTGCTAAGTGCCTGAATTAGATGCTGAGAAAAGCTCTTGCTTTGGGCCAGACCTCCTGGCACACATTACTCACAGCTCCCTTGGTGCACATTGTTCACTTTCCTCTGAAGTGTCAGGTGCTGTTAAATGGAAGAGACAGGATATCAAACTGCATGGACTGGCAGTCTGAATTGGCCCAGCAAGGTCTGTGAACTCTGTGAAATTAGTTCTGGTATTTTTGTATGAAATTAAATTATGAACAGAATTGGCTTTCATTGTGGCAAGCCACATTTCAGTGTTAACTTTATTCCACAGGCAGAGCATTGCTCTTTTAAAGCATCGGAGTTGGAGATAATGTGGATTTCAACTATGCTACATCTCACACTGATCACAAAAAATCTGTCATGTTAAAAAGATGGATATGGACTCTTTGGCTTGAGAAATGTATTAGTAGAAGATTCCAAATTATTTATGTGGGGTTTTAATCGCCCCTTTAAAGATTTAGGACTTAATTTATGTCCACACTTTGCATTGCAGGTTTTGAAAGATAGATTTCAATGTTGTTTGTGTGCCAGAGCACTATTTCTCTGAGCCAGGAACCTTTTGTTTCATTTAAACCACTTAGACTATCCTTAAGCTAGAATTTTAATTTTACTGGAATTACTGTTGATTTTTTTTTTGTAAACGTAATTTTTGACATTTTAGTTTTTTTCATGCTAAAGGAAATTTTACTCTTCTCTTCCCACACTTATATGATGACTTTTTGTGTTGTTACTGTGCGTTTAAAAACTACTTTTAATTTCTGTCAATGGCACTATTTATTATTCTTCAATTTATTTTTTTTCTTTCCCATCTTTGTTTTCCTTTAGTAAGGGTAGCTGTTTATATCCCTACTAGAACTATACCTTAAGTTATGGGACAGAACATATTTTAAATTACACTTGCAAAACAACTAATTACATTTATAATGAAATATGATGTAGAAATCTTACTTGTTGTGCTTTCCACACCAGAGAGAACTTTTCATTATCAGAGACTGAATCAAAACAGTGGATTTTTCCCCCTGGAAAGTGTGTATTTTTCTCTTGGGAATGACTGTAAAGTAATAGCTGAATGTGCAGTATATAAAACTGGGGCACTACTTCAGTCTCAAGAACATTATCTGTTTCTTAGATAAGTTTTCTAAATTTGTGATGTGTTCAGAGCTTGATTCCTCCAGATTAAAGTTTAAAGACATTGTATTTAACCTCAGTATTAGTGAGAAAACCCTAATGCAATAGCAAAAAACACCAGCCAGTGTAAAATCTGGATTTGGAAAGTTAATTGAATAGTGTTTTCAAGGGCCTCTTGTCATCAGAATCTCTAAGTTTATTAAGGGAACTGCAATTATACCTGCCTTCCTGGGGGAACAAGCAAGCATGTGCAATGTGTGGAAGCTGTTTGTGGTGCATTGGTAGCTGTGGGATACCTCTCCCGTGACATTAGATCTGGGCTACAGGGGAGTCTCGCTTGTGCGACCTGATGCTAAGTTTAGCACTGGTAGTTATGGTGCCTTGTCAGTCACTTATTGTCTGTATTATACAACCAAAGTCTTCCTGATACAAGTACAAGCTAAAATTCAGTGTGTAGTAGGCTGTTGTGTTCAGCAAATTAAATCTGTGGTGGTTTAGGTTTTATAAGGCAGGAGGCAATTTCTGTGCTGGGAAATACACTATTTTGGTTTTGTTTGGGGTTTTTGAGACTATATTCTCAATGCATTTTCTGTCTCTTTCCCTCTCACAAGGCAACATAATTCTTACATCTCTTCTTAAGGTCAGGCAGTTATTACACATAACAGTATCTGTGTGTCATCATAACAGCATTATGGTTAGGATTTTGCACATCCTGTTTTTTTCAGAAGTAATCTCAATATATTATCTCATCTGTTGTCCTCATTCTTTAGTGCTTTCTGCTGACTGTGCAGAAGGGGCTCTCAGGTTTGTTAAGTATATATTACCTGTTTCTTTTATACAAAAAAGTACCAATTCTTTTTGTTGATTTTAGTCAGACTGTATTCTTTCTAGTCTTTCAGGTAACCTCTGTTACACAATTTGAAAAAGAAATTATTTTTTTATATTCTAACCATATAAAATTTCTCTCCTCACTCTTTTTGGACCCACTGAGCTGTGAACATGTTTTTCATAGATTGTATTATCCAGGGAAAGTGGTGTGCCCGAATGAGCTAAAATCTAATTTCAGCATATTTCTAGCCATATGTATTAATCTTTTGGCACCTCTTTCTATTAACTGTTGTTCTGCATAACAGAGGGGGCTGAAGAAAAATCTCAAGGAGTTTTGCTATATCTATCTATCTCAATTTTTCTCAAATTTCATGGAAAAATTGGAAAGGTGAATGGACATAGTCAAAGCAAAGTCAAGAACACCTTGGAAATTTAAGCTTTTTCTATAAACAAAGTTAAATATGAACTTGTCTTTTTCTATTTTCAAGTCCCTTTCAACGTACATTCATTCTTGCATAGGTAAACATGGGCATGTGTCATACATATTGCAAAATACTATTTTTCATTTCCTGGAGGCAAGATTATTGTTTTTCTTCCAAAATTACTGTTTTGTTAAGGGCTAATAAGGCCTTTTATTAGTATATTACTACTTTTGGTGTATTATTAGTAGACTGTTGTTAATAATTGCTGTGGTAGTGATCATTACATTAGCTAGTGGTATGCTGATTTTAGAAAATTATTAATATAGTGAATGTACTACTAGCTGGAAGGAGTTATAAATCAACATTTAAGGTACTACATTATCTTTGAAAGTGTGCCACCTGCATGACCTTGATCAGAGTCAACTGTAGCTATTTACTGCATTTTCTTTTGATAGCTTTCCTGAAGGAACCAGGACATTTTCTTTATCTTAAAAAAAACTACTTTCTGAATTTCTTACAGATGAAAAGTACACCCAGTCTGCAACAGCTCATCACTGGGGCCCAAAATGACAGTGAAATTCTGACAAAAAGTAGTTGCAAGGAGGAAGAAGACATAACAACCAGTCCCACAAGCGATACGGTTTTCTGTGATGGCAGAAAACATGTAAGTTAAAGGATGAAAGACCTAGAACAGATGCTTAAAGGGAACAAATATAAAAGCTTGTGCAAAATGTTGGTGTATTTTAGATTATATTACAAAATGAAGGAAGAATTTTACTTGAGTTTGTATCTGATGAAAGACTGACTGCCTTTGGCATGGTCCTCATAGTAACACTGTGAACTTTCTGAAGCATAAGCCAAATCAAATTAATAATGGATAATTGATAGATGGATACATCAATTAATAGTGAATAATTTATGAAGCGGCTTCTTCTGAATTTTGCAAATACAACTAACATTCTTCCCAATTTATATTAAGGTTGGGATTATGAACATAGTACTTTCTAATCTAATAGTTAGCTTTTTCTCTTCAAGCTTCATTTAACAGAAGGGTTTTGTCAGTCTGCAAGAACTGTGGTATTGGAAATGTCAGTGGAAATTCAAATGTCAGAATGTCAGTGAATGAAGAGGAAACTGACAGTGATGGAAGCCAGAGGAGCAGTTCATAGGCTTAGGGCATGATATTGAATCATCCTCTGACGGATGGCATTTTGAATACTACAGATGAGAGAGAGGGAAGCTGGTTATAAATGAATTCAGCACATGCTTTAAAGCCCCTATGATTAACTGTGGAAGCTAATTTCTATGTATTAGTGACAAGGTTAAGCAGGGTGAAGTATCCAAAGAATTCATGACCGACCTTGTAAAATGATTTAGGGAATCAAAATTAAACCAGCCTGCTGGCTTTACAGAGAAGTATAAACACACACAGGGACCTTGGTGCTCTCTGACAGTTTACTGCACTGTGGAGTCTGAGGTGTTAAGCTGACAAGTGGGTAATAACTTGTGGATTATATTTCTGATGCTATAGACCATTTGAACTGGTCTATAAAGGGCTCAGGCTTAAAACTGTAATATTTTTACTATCTTGTAAGAGGGGACAAATTCCATTAAGCTTCTCTTTATGGATAAGTACTGGATGTTGAAGGCCACTCCATAAAAATGTGTCTTCCAAAATATCAGATGACATTGCTTCCAGTCATGCCACCAGAAGTACAATACATGAAGTCATTGCTAAATCCCTGTTCGCTGAACAAAAAGGATGGTGACTTCTACATTGAATGTATGTGACACCTGAGCAGGTAGGAGAGGTGTGGTGATATTCAGTCCAGAACACCTATCCAGCCTTTCTAAATAAATAAGGTGTTCTGTGGAATAAATATTAGGGACTTTCACAGAACCTTTTCTTAGGACATGAGCTAAGACAAAACTCTTTGTATTCCATTACCATAAAGGATTTTGGTGGAAAATAATAATTTTCTGGTCAAGTGAATAAAAACATGTCAGTGAGTGAAAGAGCAGAGCAAAGCAAAGCTGCAAAGGAGATTGATTACACTGATAAACATCTTATGGAAGGAGCAAGATTACATGCAACAAGCATCAGGTCAAAAAAGTCCTGACACTTCTTTTGACTTCCTCAACAAGCACTTGGCCCTTCTTTTGTCATGTATGTGTGTTACTTAGAGTTTATAAGATAGAGTAGATAGGTGCTTTAATCTAATGGATCTGTTGGTGTGAACTGAGTATTTGGCATGCTGCACAAATGAAGAAAAGTATCTACATGGAAGAGAGATATGATCTTATAAACACTACTCTGCAATCTTAGCTGCTGGGTTGTGCAATTCAGAACTCCTTGGTTAACCAGTCCTGTGTGGGTTGGTGTTTATTTTCAGAGGGAGGAGTGATCTAACACAGATATCTTAGCAATCTAGGGCAATGTTGCTGTGAGACTAATCACAACAACAATTGAGTCTTCGTGACAAATGCGATGTAAAAAATTCCTAGGGCTCACATTAAAGAATATCATTATAAATGAATGGAGACCAAACCATTTTTAGTTGATACGTTGTTACAGTGAAGGCTACATAGCACCATAAAGTTACATGTCTGGGCTGGGCCACAGAAAGCATTACAGTCTCTTCCTTCTTTGCCCTGTCATGGCTTCTGTAGTGCTGGATGCAAGTGGTTTTTATATATGTGGATGGACAGCATCCAAACCTTTGCCCCAAAGGTGAAAGTAGATTGAAAGGAGAACAAGGTGAACTAGGAGACATCTTCTCTTAGCACCAGAATACAACAAATAGGAAGTCTTCCTATTTTAATCTTTCCTGAATCCTACTGGTCTGCAGTACGAAGTGTGCAATTTTTATGTGGAATTGAGGCATCTTGTAAAGTATTTACGGAATGTGCAGGCCACTTATGTTTCCTTTAATACACGACAGAAACTAATGTCTCAGTGGTGTACTCTACTGTGTGCTATGTACTAAAAGGAGTCTACTTCAATGCTTTGTACCTTCTTAGATTTCAGGGGTTTTTTTCAATCCCTTTCAGACACCCAGTTTTCTCATGGGAAGCGACATAGCAGTTTTATTCTAAGACAATTTCTAGATCTAGAAGTTACTTAACAAAGCAATTTCCAAGCCTAGAGAGCTTTGCCCTAGAACAGGGCAAAGCAGTAGTTATTGCAATTACAGTCATAATTTTCAAGGCTGTTATGGAAGCAATGGAATGTTTTCTACAGGTTACCTTACATTTTGTGATTTGCAGTAGCTTTACAGTAATGTCTATAAAGATACTGACTATTAAAGGAAATAAATGTTTTTTCCTGTTTGATCTGACACTCATTTTCCCAAATGTTTGTCTTTTCTTAGGGAAGTTTGTTTAGTCTTAACAGCACTTGCACTGAATCTGGCAATTTTGGCAAAGCTAATGTCACAGGAGAAATAGAGTTTGCCTTAAGATACATCTTCAGAGCTTACATCTTGGAAATTTGCATCAAGGGATGCAAGAATCTGGCTTATGGAGAAGAGAAGAAGAAAAAGTGTAACCCGTAAGTATTTTGCAGAGACGGAGAAAAAACATAAGGAAAATATTCTGGTTTTTTGAGATACTTACGCATGTTGTGATTGAAATGGATTGATATATGATGGTATGCCATATTGGCACTTTCAAAACCTCCAACATACGTACCAGGCCTTTGTACATATACACACTGCAAGACAAATACGTTTCATACCAATGCTTATTCCATTCTTACAATTTTCTGCTAGGAATTGTCCCTTTCCCTTCTTGTGAGCAGGCAGTTGGGTATCTATGTTGTTGATGAGTACCTTTGGACCTCAAGAATAGCTGTTCAGATTTTAGTTCTTAATATGTAAGTGGCTGAAATATGTAAGTGGCTGAAACATGAGATGACCTGTTCCTAATATGTCTGCTGACTCACTGTGGGTCACTGGGTGATTGCTATACTACTTGGGTGCTTTTATCTTCTGTAATAAGAGTAGAAATTTCAGATGCTGCAATGGATCTTAAAGTCTAAGGCTGCTTAATAATTACGTATCATTGTAAGAAGAAGAAATATTTACTTCTGTAGATAAAATATGCCATAGAAATTTTTGCTGGACAGTTAAGTCTTGGTGATTTATCTCTTTATTGCTTAAAAATGCTCTCTGACCATGCAGCAACCACTGATAGAAAATCAACAGGTAGAATACCTAACTACCTGTTCTTGTCCCTGCTGTCACACCGCGTTTGAGCATTTGAGTGACCATGTTGGAACTGAGGACTTGCAGTCACCTTCACCCAGAAGGTCGAGGGCTTTTGCGCATCTTGCAGAGAATAGTCATAAAGACAAGCTTGGTGATGAGCAGTGCCTTGCTGGAACAGCAGCTTGTGGAGCAGGACAGTTTGGGAGTACTTCAGAAGTGGGTCAAGGTTCTTAAGTCCCCTGGTAATTAAGCCAGGCAAACAATTACAGGAAGGCTGAAAGGCAATGTGGGAAGTGTTGTGTAGTAAACGTTATGTTCTCTATTGGCACATATTTATATATTTCTGTTGGTTTCCAAGCCAACAGAAAAATTATAGTATACTCTCTTAACATGCTTGCTGAAAAGCAGACTTTTAACTGATGTTTAAAACCTGTTGAATTACTTAGCTTATTTGCTGTTTTGAAGTCTGACTGGCTACATTTTAATTAAATTGATTTGGGGTCACAGAAAAAGAGGCTAAAACTTCTAGGACTTGTGTATTTTAGAAAGTAGTTTTATCTATGAATAAGTTCAGAAAAAATAGGGAAAATGTGTAAGTTTTGCAGCTATGATATGAAGTACAGCTGATTTTTATTTACCCGGCAAGTTAATCAGAAGGCTGTTTTAGAATTGGTTTAAATCATCATACGTGAAATATATACAACAAATACAGTTTAAAAATATTTAGTATTAAGTAAACAATCACTCCTTTCCCTGACAAGCCGTGAGCACTCTCTATGGCTAAAACTCCTAAGTTTTGAAGCCATAACCCAATTACAGCCCACTGAACTGATAGTAAGGAGAATATTTAGGTATTAGTGTTCACTTGACCTACACATGAGAAACTTTGGGTAGGAATCATTACTGCTGGATTTTGGTGCAACTCAGCTTCCAGAAACTTTTTTTACTGGTTTTCCTTGAATCAATGTTAGGGCAATTTTGACTGCTTTTAGACAATCTCCCATTTTCATTCTAGTGGCTGCTGGAACAATTAGCATTTTTAAGACTTATGAATTATTATGTATTATTTATGTGATAATACCTTTTTTGCTACATGGTACCCGGTGTTGTGAAGACAAGATATTTTCTTTATGAACAATCAGCAGTGATCCTAAAGTTGACTGAGGTTTTTTTTTTTCTTTGAGCACATAATACGCTGTTTGTTTTTGGCATAAAACTGTCACTAAACCCGGAAGGTGATTTCTTTAGGGGCTATTTTATCAGAGGCCAAGAGTACAAAACCAGAAGATTCCTCTTCAGACCCTAATCCTTTCCGAGTTACAATGGAATTGAAACACATTAGCAGAATGATACACAGGGTTCCTTATAGTCTATCTGCTTTTACTGAGAAAAGATATAAATCACATTTTGCCATTTTGTTGATGGAAACTTACAAAGTCAATTAAATTTTTTTTAGAAATAAGAAAAACTCCTCTCATCTAATTGTTTTCTCCCTGCCCCTTCTGATCATTTTCAATGTATCTTTCTCTCTCTATATAAGGTATGTTAAGGTTTATTTACTTCCTGATAAATCTCCTTGGAGTAAGCGAAAGACAGCTGTCAAAAAGAGCACAGTGGATCCAGAGTTCAATGAGACTTTGAAGGTACGGTTTGCAACTGTGTTGCTGCTAAGTGTGCTTTTCTATGGTACAATCCTGCAAGTTCTGAATCGACCTGATAGGGCAAATTAAGGAGTTACTGACAATAATAATTTTAAAAATTATGTTTTTTCAGTCCAAATAAGAGAAAATGCTTTTGGAGTTGCAACAGTAAATGGCAAACCATTAGAAGAGTCTGCCTTTGTCCAAGAGAGCACTTTTAATGAATACCAGTGTTGTTCTGAGTTACCTTGTGGCAAAAGCAAAGTGTCTTCCATAGACATGGGTTTTTGTACGTTCAGGAACTGAATTCAGCAAAAATGGTCAAAAGTGCATAGCACTGTTACAGGTGAACTCCATCATGCCACTGAGATCCAGCTTGGTGGGATTCAGCTGCAAGTTAAGGTACCTGCATTTAGAGGGAGTTGCATGTGTGAGAGCTGGGTAAGTGCTCCTGGGAATCACTGGAGCCCAGGGTAATTCAGGGTGATTAGCCACAGAGCCTACACCCAGCTTCTGATTCAACAGCCTAAATATGGATAGCGATTTCCTTGCCTCTCCATTGCCTTCAGCTTTCAGTGCAGGTCACCTATGGGCTGGGTATCATGTTTGCCAGGCTCATGTGGGTATATTAGATACCCACATACCATATACCATGTGGTATATCAGATACCCAACAATGTCTCAAAGGGCTCTAACTATGTTTGGGGAGTGGATCAAGGCTTTAATTAGTGATCACCTGAGTTACTTCCTTGCTCCTGCTGACTGCATTAAGTAGATGTCCACTGAACAGGATGGGAATTTCAGCGCCATCATTAGATGTCTTAATCTTGAACTGGCCTCCAGAACAGCCAAATTCTGCTGGGAGCGTAAACAGAAACAGAAAAAAAACCCCAACCCCCAACAAAAACCAAATCAAACCAAAAAAAGAAAGAAACAAACCAAAAAACCAAACAAATGAAAAAAAACCTAACCCAGCAAAAATGGTCAAGATTTATTTAAAGTTCTGAATTAAAAATCAAAATCTTTAGCAAGGCAGGTCAAGGTATTCCTGGAATGTTGATATATATTTGAATGAGCATTATTTAGCATTTAAATTGTGGGGTAATATGCAGATTGCAAAGCATACCCAGACATCATGGTTCATATCTGCCTTCAGCCATGCTGTGCCTGGGCTTCCTGTAAGCAGGTCATGATCGTGGGCTGCATTCATCCTGTGTATTGCTCTGTAAATGCTGTTTATCTTTCTAGTACAAGATTGAATACTCCCAGCTGCGAAGTCGGCAACTTCAGATCTCTGTGTGGCATGCGGGAGCACTCAAATACAGGGTGTTTTTGGGGGAAGTAGTGATTCCACTGGCAGCATGGAATTTTGAAGAGGACTCAATGCAGTTATTTGACTGGTATCAACTCAAACCCAAGGTAATTCTTATTTTTTGTTCTTAATTTTATTTTAAGAGAAAGATGCTGTAAAGGCTATGAAAAAGATCACCCTTCTGAGATCATTGAGGGAAAAATGCTGTCAATCCAGCCCATTAGTAAGATGTGTCACAAACACAAATAAGCCCTGACAAAGATGTGTAAGAGAATGATTGCAGTAATGCAAACTTCTGTATGTCCCTTTCTTAAGCTTGAAAAGCCTGAAGATGATCTTACCCAGTACAGTGGTGAACTCCTCTTGTCTGCAAGACTCTTGGTACCAGCCCAGTATAAAAATTTCCAGTTTGAAGGTATAAAATGTTTCAGCATTCATAGAGGTCTTTTCCAGTGTAAATGGTTCTATGATTCTGTGAATCCCTTGGCTAGAAAAGAATTGATATCAATGAAGGACTGGCAATGTGTCCATGTAATATTCCTGTATGGGATTTTTAACAGCTACAGAAAATGGTGCTTTGTGGTGTATTAATTTTTTCTTTTCCAAATGACCCCAAAGTTATCAGCTTACTTTCTTCAATTCTTCCTCCCTGTGCAGGCCTGTGTATTGGGTCTCTGCTTTGTACCTAGAGCTGTGAGAGGAGCAGTATCACACCATGGGTTTGGCTGTTTCTCCTGCTTCTGACTGTTCCAGAAAAATGTTTCTGTGGGTACTGTCCTGTGTTGACATTTCACAAACACAGCAGAAAGCTTTATCTTTGGGACAGAAATCACAAAGCAGCCTGCTACTCATTGCTTGGTTTTCTTTGTGTGAATCATACACTGTACAAACATGTTAAAATCTTTCAAATATTCCTAGTACAGCTTTATGACTCCTTATCTGAGTAGTACCACTTAGGCATTCCCCTACTTATAGCAGCATCTTAAGCTATGAGCTGAACTGACTGGGCATTTCATGTAATAAGGGTTCCCTTTTTCAGGAAACAAAGACCAAGGAGTTCCCAACTGCCAGCTTCAGATTATGATATTTGGGGCTAAGAACTTGCCCATGCTGAGACCTGCTGGAGTGTTGAACTCCTTTGTTAAAGGGTATGTATGAGACCTAACACTACAAATAGGAAATGTCACATGTTCCATGCAAACGTATGTATTAACATGTTTTCATCAGCAGACTGCATTTGAAACTGCCATCGTCTACACTTAGACTTCCTTGTAATGGCTTCATTTGAGTGCCTGCAGAACAGCAGCAGTTTGCAGAGTGGTGACAGGTCCCACCTGCCCTCTTGGTCTTGAAATTTAGAATTTAATGATGTCATTAAAATTTAGAGTTCACTAGTTTAAGTATATGCTTTTAGATATTAGGAGAGGAAAAAAATTTGCAAACAAATACAGTATCGTCATTCCTAGTTTCAGCTTTTGCAGAATTAAGTAAAGCTTGGGATACATTGAAAACTTTTATCCTCTTCATTCCAGACATTTTGAAAGAGAAGGGACTGAATTTTATTTCAGTATGCTGAGTAGCTTGTATGTGGGATCATTTTACTTTCCTGTTGTCAGGCATCAGATGCCATTAGAAATATGATACTGGGGTAAACTTACATCTCATAACACTATTTTACCTGCTGTGGCACCTATCTTTGGTGAAATGGGTGAGCATTTTAGGTACTGAAAGACAGGTTTTAGGCAGTATTGAATAACAGCACGTGAAGTAAAGACTCCTTCAGCAGTCAGTGACTGCAAAGTTAAAGCAGACCAGAAGAACCCACTTGCACTCACATTAATGACAAGCAGGAGAAGGTGCAAATCCCAAAATAAACACACTAGCACCATGTTCTATCTTGTACTTAACCTAAACTTTTTTGCTCTTTAAGGTAAAACAAAGAGCCTTAGTTGATTATTGCAAATGCTCTGTTTTCTTGTTGAGAAATCAGTAACTTTGCTGAACTCTTATTTTTTTGGGAAAGTTGTCTTATCCTTCCAAACCAAGCAGAGGTAAGGCAAAAGTCTCCTGTCCTGAAGAAAGAAGCCTATCCTCAGTGGAAACACTTGTTTGTCTTTGATGGTGTGACCCCAGCTCAGCTACAGCAATCATGTCTACACTTGACTGTCTGGGAAAAGTCAACTTTCAGCTCAAGTGATCGATTCCTAGGAGGAACCAAGCTCGGTACAAGTAAGTACTTTACCACTAAAAGTTGAAGGTAATTTGGGGAAAAGGTCTTTTAGTTTACATCCTAAACAACAATAATTATACTATGCTATTTATTACCTGCTATCATGTGCCTATACATGCAGTCCCAGCCTCTGTCATAAGCAACTTGCAGTCTTGGGCTTTGATCCTGTAAGGACTGATGCATGTGCTTTAATTCAGGTCTGTGGGGAAGCTCAAGGTTTTCAGTGGAAATTTTCAGGAAAGCTATTTGTTAACATGGTGACTTTTGAGGTCAGAGCCATGCCAAGACAAGCACAGAAATGGCCTGGCTCTAACTCCACCTAGAGCTCTCTGTATTTTTAAAGACTTATTCCCTTAACTGTTTTTTATGAATTGGCTAATTTTAAATGATTTCTCATCAAAAGAAAGCACAAGAACTAATGATCTAGTAGACTCCAACCTTGCTTATGTTTGTGATTATCATTTTACATCCACAAATCAATCCAATCAATGAAATACAGAAGGTGAAACTTGCTCAGAAGGGGCTATTGCATGTGTGAGTTTTGGGCTCTGTTCTAACATAAGAGCAAACTTTCTTTCTGAAGGCTGAGAAATGTTTGAGAAACATCTGAAAAACCCTCTGCTTGCTAAATAGGCCCTGTTTCCCTGGTAGTTGAGCAGGGAAGCATTATCATAGAATCACAGGATCATAGAAACAGCCGGGTTGGAAGGGACCTCTGAGATCAAGTCCAACCCTTATCACTTGAAGGCTGACCAACAGAGTCTCCTAGCCCCATCCTCCCTGAGAGTAAGTGCTGTGGTTTCAGTATTTGAGATGACAGGTTCAAAAAAGATTGAGGCTGTCATGTTGTTTGGGTATCAGTATGCACTTTAGAGGAGTATTATCACTAGTGGTAAGTCAATGTTTTGCAGGCTTCCTCATGAACTTTTTCTGATTATCTGACCCAGCATTTTCCTTTCTGCTAGAGCAGGGGCTACCTGCTTGTAAGTGATCCAAGCCCTAAGCTTAGTAATGCACTGAAGGTACTGGAGATGAACTGAAACAGGAGATTTTGTACCATTCAGCTATTAATAGTGCACACACTTGCTCCTCTGCTCCTAGTCATACAACCAAAAACTTTTTATTTGCTGCAAGCGGAGATCTTCAGAGAGAAATCCTAGTTTACAGGATGTAAGTAATACTTCAAAAGTATAAATACAATTTATTGCAATTAGTGCCTTAGGAGCTGAAATTACTGTAGAAGTGGGTGAACAGGTTATTTTGTTAACCAGTCCAAGTGGGCCTGAAGCTGGGTAAGGCTTAGTGAAAAGTAACTGACCTTTCCTTTTGCTTTCTTGCAGAGGAACTGTTTGGCTCTACAGACCTTGTTTCTCAGTCAGTGCTCCAATGGCAAGAAGTGCTCTGCAACCCAAACACGTGGATGGACTTTACACTTGTACTGCATTCAAATAAGGAAGACTTTAAATCATGAGAAATTATCACACAACTTTTCCTTCCCAATTTGTGATATTTTAGACTTCCCCAGACTTCAGGTCTGGGGAAAGGTATGATGCAAATGTATCCACTCTGGCTTTTGGGGAATAGACTTATGTATTTGAAAGTGTGTGACATTCTGAATGTCTTATTTCTTAAAAAGTAAAGGCTTTAACTTGTGTTTCTAGCTGGAGTATAAGGTTAATATTGTTTCTTCAGGAGTTACAGTCTCAGTTTGAGATGCATTATGCTGACAAAGCAACAGTAGCCAGACAATATGCAGTTTTCCATTTCTGGGCATAGCCAAACTCTCATTGTTTAGTCACAGCTAGGAATACTTCTCAGAGAAAATAACTGTTACAGGAGGAAAGTTATGTGCTTTCACTCTGAGGTTAATGTTTTATACACAGAACTGAAAACTAGCTTATCTTTGTCTGCTTGCTGCAAAGGGGAGATGCTAATAACTCTGCTTCAGAATTACCTACACTGCCACTATTATTTCACATGCCACTAAAAAGCATTGGCCTGTAGCCACATCTCTCAAATGTGTGCTGCATCATAGGTCTTAGAAAGTTAAGGTACAAATTCTCCCTCAGTAGGAGTATGGGACAACAGCTGATAGACTAAGTGTGGGTGTAATAAGTTCCGTCTTATCTGCCGCTGTAAGACAGCTTTAACAAGTCTGATCCATAGGGCGTACAGCATGTGACAAGAACGTAGCTCCTGACTAAATGACTTTATCATTTATTCATGTGTACTGGTGGAAATGCAAGCTTAGGCCAAACTACTGCAGCAATTTTACTTGCCTCGGATGTAGTGTTACAGTCAGCAGAAACTTCATATATACAACTGTAACTAGTGCTGCTGTGTTATACTTTTGTTACTGCAAGTATTGCCCTTTCGTCCTTTATAGGTCAGTGTGGCTTTTAAGGATTTAAGATTTAAAGACACAAGGACTAACAGGCTAAGCTGAGGAACTAAAAGAGCAGTACTACACCTTATACAGAATACACCCCACACAAGAAACACTTGACTCCACATCCTTTGTTACTTTGCAGATCTTTTATTTAGATGTTTGCTGCTGCAAATAAAAAAAACCCCACACAAGATTCTACTCACGTATAATGCAGCATAGATATTGTAAATGGAAGAGAAGAGGTGACAACATACTGTATCTCACTTTCTAACAGATTTTCAAGGAAAGGGGGAGAGTGGGGGAAGAATGGTCACAGAAATGCTCTCTACTAGAGAGAATTCAACTGTGATATAAACAAGCAGTCCCTTCATCTTTGGAGTCTGAAACTTTAAATCAAACATTTAAAAAAATTAGAAAATTTGTTAGAAAAATAAGTGCAGTAAAATTGTATATACTGGATCATGTGTACATATAACAGTTTTCATTAAGTAAAAAAATGATCTTTACAAATAATGCTTTATAGTAAATAATCAGCTGCACTGTATCAGACTACAGTGCTGTTTAGGCATTTTTACAGACACAAGTCTTATTAAATCTGAAAAGTAACAAAATATACAGAGCAAAACTATTTCCCTTTAAACTAGTACTGCAATCCACATGTTGCATGTTTTTATATATATATATATAAATACTACACTATAACTGATCAGTAATGAAGTTGGAATGCAAACACAGTAGTGTATTTGGATTCCAACAGAGTATTTGCTACTTGTTACGTGAAGAGGATATGAGTGTCCCTATGCCACACTTCTGAGCCATCACTGCAGAAATTCTCCAGTTGAGAACAGTAACCAGAAAACGCCTAATTTCTACACAAAGTAGTTCTGAGGTGTTGTCAGTTCTTTTGTGTGTGGGGGTGGGCTGGGGAGGGGGAACATGGGCATCAAGACCAAGGAAAAAACAGGGCATACAAGCACATGTGCAAGGTTGTACACACTCAGATGCTTGCAAATCCTGAGTTCCAGAACCTGTCTTCTCAACTGCTGGACTTCACACTGTAACTAATAATACAAAGACGTATGGCACAAAATTCACCCACAGATGCTTATTTTTTAGACCAGGATGAATCCAGCACCTGCACAGGACATGTATCTTCAACTAGAAGCACAGCCTGTTAAAATTTGTCTTGCTTAACGAGAGATGTGACATAAGGCCTTTTGGCACTAAGCAAAGGCATGAGCAAGTTACCAGGATCAGTGGTACAATAAGTTTTTAACTATATCAAATTTCAGAGAAGGTACAGGATAAATGGGAGATTTAAACACCTCTGGGTTTAGAGAACATTTGTTAAGTGTCATACAGTGATGCCTCCTCAGGAAAAAAAAAAACAAACCAAAAACCAACACAACAAAAAACCCCAAAATAAGAACACAGCATTAAGATCTGCCTTTCCCACAGTCCTGTCTTCTTACAAGCGTTGTTACATCGCCTCAAACTCATCGATTCTCTGCTTGGTGTTGCCTTGCCGGATCTGCCGCAGCGTCTTGTACTTGTCACGTCCCTGTCGCATGTTCTCTGAGTGGATAATGTCGTTTTGGGTCCTCTTATTTTCATCTCTAGCCTGGGCCAGCTCATCTGTCAGTGCCTGCAATATGAAGAACATTAAATACAGGTTATTTGTAAGAAGCTTCCAGCTCATGACAGTTCTTTGGTGAGAGCTGACAGTTGACAGATGACTGGACAGATCAGTGACATGGATACAACATAGGCTTTCCATAAACACTATGGATGATTTAAGCAACCTCAAAGCTTCAGCAATGAGAGTAATCTTTATATACCTTGTCTTTATTTCAAACTGCCAACAGGAACTGTAAACAAAGAGAAACTATCATACTCGGTGCGTATAACCAAGTGGTTAAATGATGTTTTCCAAGAAAGATTGTTTCAATTACTCTGCCTCCCCCAGACATCATCTTACCCTCAGTTGACTCTGTACACGTGCATTCTTCTCTGCTTCAGTAATGCGCTTCTCCTCATTGCGGTCATTCCTGATCCCCTCACTGGAGAACTCTGCACTGTAGGCAGAGTACTCAGAGCCTTCGTCTTGCAAGTTATCGTGGACATGGTAGTTCACTGGCTCATAGACAGGTGGTGGAGGTGGAGGTGGAGCAGTCATTACCAGGTGTAACTCCTCCTTTGTCTTTACCAGATCCTCCTGGGCTTCCCTGGCCTTCGGGAAAAGAATAAAAAGTATTTTAAATGCATTTCTTGCTTTAAACCAGCTTAATGAACACTCAAATGCTTATCTTCCCAGTTTTTTCAATCCACTATGAAAAGCAAGGAAGAGAGAATTAAATCTCTGCAGCTGACAGTACTCTATTAGTCATATACAGAACTTTTTTTATTTTTTTTGCTAGGTATGTTATCATCATTCATTATGTAATGTGCAGGAGATCTAAGCAAAGAATCTTCTTCCACTAAAACAGCCTAGGAAAAACTGTTCTGTGGGAAGCTACAGTTATCTTCATCCTGTTCTCCATTTGAAGAGCTGTAGGCTGAAGAGACAAGAGTTCTACAGAGCAAGAACTCAGATTCCCAAGTTGGACTTTTGAATGTAGTTATGCACTAGGCAGGCACCGTCCTTACTGCTTCAGTGGTTTTGCCCTGCCATGCAGCCGATAGCCCTAGTTACAGGGCACTGGGAGCATCAGGCACTCTGAACCTTGTGTGGTTTGTCTTTGGTTTTAGTGCATCATATGTTGCTAAACTATGCTGACTAGGAAGCCACCAACAACAGCACACACTCCTCAAAATGGATACCTGCAGCGTGGCTGCATTTGCAGAATCTTCTCTTGACTGATGTTTTCAGACATTATATCATGCATCAGGCATCATTTATCCATGTGCCCCTCCCCCTCCATGGCTCCAAGATGATGATCATATTTTTAGGTTTTATACAGGCTTCCATTTTGAATTTTGACGGTTTGTTGGAGGAAAGGTGTTTTGCAGGCATATTGCACATTCACCACAAGTTTGCCCTTCTTCACTGCTGTACAGATGTTTATCTCCATATGTGTAGAGAAGTCACACCAAGCTAAGCACCATAGTGTGCTCTGCTCAAGCATAGAACTTTAGAGCAACTTTATAAGGCAGATACTCACTCTGATTTGCCACTCTTCAACCTCGCTCTCTTTACGCCTCCTTGCCTCTTCAAGAAGTGCAATCTTGGCTGTATACTCCGCAAGCTCTGTAGCCTGTTGAATAATAAAACTGGAATTATAAGGACTCTTAAAAAAAACCCAACCCAACCACCAAGCACAACAAAGAAACACTCTTAACTGTAATAAAGAATTAAGGAACAAATAAGTCGATTCCTTATGACAGAAACCAGTGCCATAATTATCCTATGATGTGGTCTAGTACTTTACTGCACTAGGTTTTTCCCTGGACAAGACGGCTTTGCCTTACTCAAGGACATAGTAGCATATCTGATCCTCAAAATGACTAGGTCTTACCAGTTGTTCCTGGCTCTTTATCTGGTCCATAGTTTGTCTTTCCAGCTCTTCCTTGGCCTGCAGAGCAGCTAAACGGTCAGCTTCCAAACGTTCTGCTTCCTCCTGGGCTCGTCTCCTTTCCTCCTCCAGCTGAATGGCTCTTTGGATCTGATCTGAGAGCTCTGGAAAAAGATCAGCACGGTTAGTCCACAAGCCTGGCCAAAGCTAAGGAACTACAAACAGTCTCTCAGGTAACTGCAGTAAGTCACAATAGCACTTTACTCCAGCATGCAATACTCCCTTCACCATGCTCCTCAAAGTAATTATTTGCATAGTACACCAAGTAACTGGATTCAGATGAGTCAGATGCACATTATAATTAGATTTTCTGCAAGATGTTTGCACTAAAAAGTCTGTAACACTGACAAAACTCTGCTGCCCTTAATAGACCAGATGTTGCTGTCTCCAATCTAATCATCTATGCATTGAAACAGAATGTTTCCATTTCATTGGAAAGACTTGTTCCCAAAGCACTTTTTTCTGCTGGGCATTAAGTAAAAAGTACTTGAGGGCTGAACTCTTGCTCACTGCCGGAAGAGGCTCTGCTACTTAAACCCTCTTGGCAACTGGGGAAAACAGAGTTCTTGCCCTTTGGTTCTCAAATACAGTCTGTAGATTTTATGCTACTTTAATACTTTGGATTATTATGAGTACTGTGTGCACATGTGTGTATTTACCCATACAGGAAGATATTAGTAAGCCTTGCTAAGAGATCTC